GACTCCTCCCTCGACACGCCTCCGTTACATGCGATTCCTGACTCCTCCCTCGACACGCCTCCGTTACATGTAATACCTGACTCCTCCCTCGACACGCCTCCGTTACATGTAATACCTGACTCCTCCCTCAACACGCCTCTGTTACATGTAATACCTGACTCCTCCCTCGACACGCCTCCGTTACATGTAATACCCGACTCCTCCCTCGACACGCCTCCGTTACATGCGATACTGACTCCTCCCTCGACACGCCTCCGTTACATGCGATACTGACTCCTCCCTCGACACGCCTCCGTTACATGCGATACCGACTCCTCCCTCGACACGCCTCCGTTACATGTGATACCGGAAAAACTTCCGGTAAGATGGCGCCCGTGTACATGGCTTGCAATCCACCTCTGCTGATGGTGTTCGGATTATTTTTGTTTTTTGCATTTCACATCTGTGACATCAACTCTCTGCTGGTGTGTGACAGACAACAACTTTTGGATCTTCGTTTTTCTGTCACTGAAGTCGCTTATTTTGACCATTATCAGCGTACCTCTGGACCCCTCCCTCCCTCCCCCCCAGCTGGCGGACATGCCAGTTAACCTTCGCTGCGCTCCTCACCTCCCTGCCCGGAGACATCGCTTCTGATGCCGGGGAAAACATGCTGGTCAGCTGGTGAAGCTGAAAGCTCTGCGCGCTGCATCTTCCTCTCCTGTGTGCCCGGACCAGGTAACCAGCGGGAGTTTTCAGCCGGTGCGCAGCTCGGACCGACCTGGAGGGGCTGTTATTGAAAACCTGCGGCCATTAGCGCGCACTAACTCCACCGCTGCTGGCTCCACTTTGAACAGTATCCGGATGTGTTTGGTCAATGCAAGATCTGTTACCAACAAAACTTTTATCCTCAGGGATTACTTTCAAGAGCACGATCTGGACTTTCTGTGCAGCACAGAGACTTGGATGTCTCTGGGTGAGTCTAGCGCCTTGACGAAATTACTGCCACCAAACTGTTTGTATTTTAACGCCTCGCGGCCATCAGGCCGGCGCGGTGGTGGATTATTAACAATATTCAAATCAACTTTTGACTGTAAACAACTGCCCATCCCAGTTTCCTGCTCCAGCTTTGAGCTGAGCATCTTTGAACTCGAACATTCACCTCCGACGTTATTTGCACTCGTCTACCGCCCACCTCGATCTAAGGATTTCATAAATGAGTTTTCTGACTTCTTGGCTGAAATCACACCAAAATATGAGCATGTTTTCATTATTGGGGACTTTAATTTGCACGTGTGCTGTCCTGAGAAGCCCTTGGTTAAGGACTTTTTAGATTTATTGGACTCATTTAATTTAACTCAGCATGTAAACGGTCCCACCCAAGAGCGTGGACATACACTGGACCTTGTTTTAACTCATGATGTGACTGTTAATAATCTTGTTATTGGTGATAATGTTTTTTCAGACCACATGCCAGTCCAGTTTGAGTTCACCCTCCCCCATCTAACTCCTAAGCCGTGCATTCCAGCACATAGGACTCGGACCATTAACCACTTCACTGCCACATGTTTCACAGATGTTTATAACTCTGAAATGATCATTCAGGCCCCGGTGTTTCTCACCACCACTGAGGAGCTGACATCCCAGTTCAACTCTGTCTGCTTAAAGACTCTGGATCATGTTGCTCCTGTTAAAACTAGAAAATCAAAACTGAGAGCAGAACCTTGGCTGAGTGACATCACCAAGGCCGTTAGGCAGCAATGTAGGAGGGCGGAGCGAAAGTGGAGGAAAGACAGGCTGCAGGTCTCTTTCCAAATACTTAAAGAGAGTTGGCGCCATTATCAGAAAACAGTAAAAGCTGCTAAATCCAAATACTTCTCTGATATAATTACCTCAAACTCTCACAACCCACGTGTCCTCTTCTCCACCCTAAACTCTGTTCTCCACCTCACTGAACCATCACCTCTGGAAGCCTCGACTGAGCTGTGCGACAACTTCTTACATTTCTTTTTGGAAAAAATTGCGACCACCAGGGCTCTCATTTCCCCTCCAACTCATGACCCATCCGTCCCACCTCAAGCTGTAGCTCCTTTTGACCATTTTGAACCCATCACTCTATCTTCTCTAGAGCAGGTCATGTGCAGCTTGAAACCTTCTGGTTCCCCCTTTGATGTGGTCCCCCCTCGACTACTAAAGGAGGTTTTTCCAACTCTAGGTCCGTCCATTCTTGATATAGTAAACAGTAGTTTATCCACTGGTGTGGTGCCAAAAACCTTTAAACATGCTGCTGTCCAGCCTCTCCTGAAAAAACCAAACCTTGACCCCTCAGTCGTTTCCAACTATCGGCCTGTCTCCAAACTCCCATTTGTTTCTAAAGTACTGGAGAAAATAGTCGAGTCCCAGTTGAAGTGCTTCCTGGAGGATCACGCCATCTTAGAGCTTTTCCAATCTGGCTTTAAACCTCTCCACAGCACTGAAACTGCCCTGCTGAAGGTCTTTAACGACATCTTCAGATTCACAGATACCAGTGATTCTGTGCTGCTTGTCCTGTTGGACCTCACAGCCGCCTTTGACACCATCGACCATGAGATCCTCATTGCTAGGTTGGAGCAGTGGGTGGGCGTCACAGGATCAGCCCTCAATTGGTTCAGATCTTACCTCGCTGACAGAT